AGCGATATCTCACATCAAACGGATGCAAAACTAGCTATATATGCAAGTGAGACTAGAATACTCTTACAAAACGAACGCTTCTCTGGGCTCAGTTATAAAAGCCTTGTAAATATTTACTCAAAGAAAATCAAGATCAATGTCCAGACGTCAAACTCAGTTCTTCACTGGAAAGGAAGTATTGGTTCCAGTCTATAAATTATGATAAACCCTGGAAAACGATGACCAATATTTTAGCATTATTTTATAGTATCATCTCACATGGAAGCCCCACATTACACAGATTGTATGTAAATTCAGAGCACGTAAAGATACACTCACTTCCTTAATTGCTCGGAAGAGCAATGTCTGTAATGATAATAAATTACTCATATGTAAGGCCGTATTAGGACCGATATTAACTAACGTTTATCGGTCTTCGGGGTTATGCATGCAGTATCGTTATTCAAAGGTCAATCTTGCAGAAAATACTACCTTACAGCAGATTATTAATTGCAGCTATTAACTAGAAATAGAGCTATTCATGATAATAAATTAAAACAATAAAACCCTCGTTTTATAATACATTCTTTTTAAAATAATATCTTATAAGTTTACCAACTTACTATCAAAAAGAAACTTCTTTCTCTTACTCTATTGATAATTCTTTGAAATCAAATTCTACCTTTAGCTAGATATGATATTTTATATTTAAATAATACTCAATTTATTGTAATGAAAATAAAAATGAATTTTAATCAGTTGTTTACTTCTATTTTTACTTATTTGTTTGCAACACGACCAGAGGCACGTAATAATCTAAATCATATGTCATCTAATAAATCAATCCATCCCATTTCTGAGAAAAGCACACCTGTTCTACAAGCAAACTTGTTAATGTATAATTTGACCACGTTATTTGTTACATTTTATTTTGTTAGCACATTACTTTATTCACATATGCACAACCAGTCATATGCCGGGGTGTCGAAACAAATTGACGTTACCTGCACTAAGCATGAAGGTATAAATGACGGCATGAGATGGAGAATTATCGGCAGATTGGAGTCGGGGCCAATCACAAGCCCTGGTGTCTAAGAATCTTAATGTAACTCCCAGGATTATCTGCAATGTGATAATAATTTCAGGACACTGGATCCATATCGAGAAGACCTGAAGAAGGATGACCGAGATTCACGATTTCGAATAATGATCGTTATCTGGCACTTTTATTGCGATTACATAGAACTTTACAGCTATACAGCTCTCACATCTGTATACTGACACTATAACCAGAGTTTCGCGGTCTACAGCAGCCCAAATGCTTCATCAGATAGTGCTGTATGCCAGAAGACCCGCTCTTTGCGTCTCGTTCACTGCAGCTCACAAACGAAAGCGTTTAGCATATAATGTGCGCCTTGAATTGGACAGCCAGATCTCTTGACTTTAAAAATTATATAGATTTCTCTAACACTCTCTTGGGAGGCAATTTCATCTCATCATCTCCCTTTGAGAACCATCCTGGTACTGAAAATTGCCTTGCTGCAGGAGTGGGATTTACAGTCTCAGAGACTCCTCAACTGCCTCCTGTACAGTACGCCGTAACGGCTGATAGAAGAGACCATACACCATATTGGATTCAATTTCAAATCTATATCGCGAAGTAGATTTTGGACATCCCTTCTCTTTGAGCATTACTGAGAATCATGCGTACATAAAATGATTTCTAAATGGTACATCTCTTTCACGGTTTTAAGTGTGTACTCATACAAAATTTCATTAAAATTTCTCCATTCGTTTTTCAGAATTTAGATATAAGGTGCGAATTCTCTTAATTCTGCTCACGAGTATATATTAAAGAAATATTAAAAAATATGTCTGTAACTGAGGCATTTAAATTTAAAATGAAGTATGCGCAGTAGATGCAGTTCACATTCGATGTTTGAGAGTGGAATCATTACGTGCAAGAGTGCTTTCGAACCTTTTAAATATATGTAACATTGACACATGCCAGATTACGTTACTACATTAATATGTCTTTCCTAAAATGCATAATGCATTTAAATTTCTTCGGATATTCATTGTACTATTCCTGTGCCGTAAGGTGTTATTAAATCGTTGGTTGTCCATATAATATTTTCTAAATAGTTTACATTTCAAATGCATTTCGACTAATTGAAATACAATATCCTGAGTTTTATCCAAACTCAGATGTTACAAGCTGCTCGAAACATAAATTGCTTCTTACAGCGTATGAAAACAGAAAATATACTATTTAAAATCCTTTTTTTTTAACCTTTCACGTCTTAGGCTCATATTCGTGCTTCTCTTGAACACAAGGATCAATTGATTAATTTTGCTTTTGTACAGTAAGATATTAGATACGATCAACTAACTAATACTGCTAAGCCTGTAAAGACTGTGTAAAAGATTGCGACCATTATAAGAGTAAAGTTTCCTTTCTTCAGAAAGTCGTTTGTAGGAATTTCATCGATTAAAGTAAAACAGTGATATGAAATTTGTTAAGATTATAATAAAATAAGTTTACGTAGTTAAAATATTTATTCGATAAAATTACGCTAACATTTATTTTTCGAATAAAGTAAATCAATAAATTTCTTTAGCAAATATTGCAGAGCTCATAACTAAATTAAGAAAAAGATATATTTAATTATTGTGAAATAAATATTTACATGATAAAAACGCTTTAGTAAACAGCCTATTTGATAACACAATAAAGGAACTTTCAGAAAATAGAGTTTTGATCCCTGTCATGTAGTTTGCACGATAAAAATGTATCGTGAATACCTACTTCTTTTCAGTTAGTTACATTTGCTGGTTTTCAGAATCTGCTTAGATTTCATCAGCTGATACAATTAAGACTATTTGGGAAGAATTTCTGGCCCTATTGCTGCAGTTCCCCCCCTAAGTTCTGCATCCAGGGAATCCGTATTCGCTCTTTCAACTGCAGGGCGAATAGTTACCAAGTGGTAAATGGTCGAATGCGCCTGGCTGACAAGTATCGTTTCAGTTATAAGCAAGCTATAGAAAGGGTTGATTGACTTGCCAGTTAAATTGCTTTGGACAGATGAACTCTGGACTTGCCTGTTAAATTTGCTCTCCTATAGGGCTTCAAAACCACAAAACTAGACACACATTTTGGGAAAAAAGGGTTAAACTACTTGAAGAAGGGAATATAATTTCCTGCATACTGTTCATAGTGCAAGGATATTTTCTTTGACTATACCTACATCGTAGTATATTTATTTTGAGAATTTGAAACTTCACGTAAACCAAGAGGCCTAGAAAGCAAATAGAAAATATTAGATTACTGCCTTAAAATTCACTAATGGCATTGTAATTTCAGAACAGGGCCGGCAATAGGATCTTGTGCAACAGGTGCAACCGTACCGGACTGCGGAATTCAGGAGTGGCAAAATTTAAAAATTTTATGCAGTCACTGGGTGGCAGAATCTAGGAACTGCAGTGTTTGCCTCGTGTGATGAAAAGCATAACGCCAGCACTGTCTCAAAATGCTAATCGATAAAGATAAAGACCTTTGAGATAAAGACCATGTACTACAACACATCCTTCGTTGAAATATCATCCACTAAGGTGTAATCCAATGGAAGAGATTTTTGGATCATTTCAAAAGCCTTTGAGCTTCTACAAATAAAATCATTGCCTTCTGACATCAAAAACAAGCACAGAATCCAACCAGATATTCGGTTAGTTAAGGAAGAAAATATGTAAAATGCTTATAACTAATTTCTAGAAACAACCTAAAATCTTTCTTAGAACAAACCAGCAACATCAAAAATTTATTTTCACTGCTGTGAGTTATAACTTTCTTCCATAGCTCCAGTTATTGCTTCTTGCCTTAAGAGTAAATCGCAAAGCAGATTTCCAAACAGATTTTCTTTTGTAATCAACACTTGTTATTTTCTCTGAAGTGCTCTTATCTTGACACTAATGGAACTGTTTATATACAACAAACCTTTTTGATTTTAGTACCTATATAATGCAATTCATGCTACTGTCGTGAACCTGCACATTTGATTTCCGTCTGACAAAAACTGATCGAGATTTCATTTTTAAAATTTGGGATTTTTTCATATTATTTGGTTTTCCTTGATGGGACGGTTAAAATAAATTAACATATTCGAGATATATTTTCTCTTTAATACCATTCAATGATAATCCTTTGTGATTGATTGATGTGTAACATTGCTTAATTTGAAATTTTGTTACATTTTTATGCCGAATGTATTTTTGCGGAGGTAATTTATGAGATTTTAAATACGAAAAACACGTTATTAAAATCCATATACAGTTCTATTAATGTAGGTCCATGGTCTAATAGTCATACAAAAAGTGCTCATTCTACTAGAAATACTATTCACTTTTAATTTAATTTATGCAAATAACGTTACGAATTAGTTGCATACCCATATTGATGCCTGCCACTAAACATTCCGTAATCTGCAGGATTCTGTAAATAAAATATAATTCATCATAGCATATAATTGTTTAGATTATTGAATTTAATCATTTATTTGTTATCGACTACTGATGAAGAAAAAATCGAAAAGAAATCGCTAGGTTGAAGAGTTACGCAACTTTTTAATCTCGGTTTCCATTTACGGTAATTGTATATGACTCATTTAGTAAAAAAGAAAAAAAGACTACAAGTACTCAATGCAATTGAAAGAAACAGCAGATTTTTCTGTATCCTCTAAAGCCGAATTTTATATCCTTCCAATTCCACAATCAAAAACATAAACAAGCGCTTTTTAATGCATCTAATTTTTCTACATTTTACAGAAAATAGGGATTTTAGCTCAAGATTTTATTCTAATTTTCGGTTGCAAGGAGATCGGATTGCGACATACGAGTTCTGGGAACGCCCGGATACTGTGAGCTTGATCTAACCTTTGAAATATACGCATTAATCAAGTGAAAGCCCAGCTGCTAATTTTATTCTGATCATCTGAAGTATCAACAGTACAGTCACAGATGATTTTTCACAATAAATAACTATTTTAATTTTCATTTCTCTGTATTCTCGAGTGGAACCGTTACTCATCCATTTTTTAACGCCATCTGTATGCAGTTTGATGACAGTCTCAACAGCGTTAAGGCGTTCAGTTGCTTGCTGCGTGGAACCCTTTTAATAGTGTTAAGGTAAGTTTTGAAGATACTTTTTCCCATCTACAGCATAATCTAATTGTAGAATAATGTCTGGAATAAACTACCTAATTAAAATTTGGTATAAAAATATTATATGTGATTTCCAATTGTACTTAATTTTAGAGGCACATAACACTTATTTAAATTCTGTAATTATTGTAGAATAATGTAGAATAATGTCTGGAATAAACTACCTAATTAAAATTTGGTATAAAAATATTATATGTGATTTCCAATGGAGTTTCCTGAATTGTACTTAATTTTAGAGGCACATAACACTTATTTAAATTCTGTAATTAGGTAAGAAATTGACATCTGTTAATACCGCATTAAAATGAGATTTAGTGGAGCACAATTAATACTCATGTAATAGAGTAAAAGTATTACTTCTGTTGAATTTCATGAGAGTTTAATTCCCTGTAACTTGCAATTATTTCGAATGCTTGCAGTTCTGGAGTCGCACATCACTCGTTATTAATACGTAGTATGATTAAAACTATCATATTTACTGAAAGGTTTGTCTTGTATTAAAAATACAAATTATTTATTCTTTTGGTGCATTTTTATATCTTTTAAGTTGATAAAGGTATGCGTTCTGAATCCGCAAATATATTCCGTTGTTGACTGTAAGACAACTAATGATTTGGTACCCATTATATATATATATATATATATTTTTTTTACTATCAGTTTTACTTTGGTTTGCAATGTCTAATCTTAGTATATCGTACAGACCGGATTTGCCAACTTTTGGCTACTGGTGATATATCGCATTGGTTCAAACTCGTTATTTTGGTGTTAGCGACAATTTTAAAATCGACCAAAGGCCGTAGCGTATATTAGGATTTTACCGTTTTAATTACAGTAACGTTTATCGCGATATTATAAATGGGAATTCTTATCAGAAATTCATAATTTCAATATAAATACAAAAATATTCCTTCACTCAAAAATAATTTAACCATCTTAAAATTCCTAACTTAATTTTGTCAAATATAATTATGAATAGTTAAACCTTTTGATACGATAAAATTTTAATTATATTTTCATAAAAATGTGCTGCATTAAACAAATATGTATACTGATAAAATCACATTATTTTAAAATTTCAGAATAGAATCAGTTGATACATAAATTATTTGTAATGTAATTGCGTTTGGGTAAAGCAGAAGCAAAAACGTTTCTCTGGTCCAGACTTAAAGTAGATTCTTTAAGAGAAATTAATAACCTTCAAAGGATTGGAACGATTTGAAAAGTTGGCACAGTAAATTTTTGAAAGCACTTATTAAATCATTTATTACTAATAGACACTGGATTAATTTTGAACATCTGATGCTAGGTTATATTTTTAAGGACTCGCAGCACATCTGTGACATGATACGATTCTTTTTCTTCACTTCTTAATACTTCTCTTCTTATGTTTTTGAATTCCGTTGTACAATCGAGAATTTGAAGAGATGGGTGATTATATATGTAGACACTGCAACACTGCTTTGAATTTGAAAATAAAACTTGTAAAGCACTTGTTTTAGAATGACTCGGTGTAGATGAATTAATAATTCCCTGATGAGCACATAGAATGCGAGAACTATACAAATATTTTGAGGATTAGAAGAACTGGTCAAATATTTTTTCTATTTTATTCTGAGTTTCGAAACATAGGAGACCATCCTGTCAACTAAAAGATGTGATGATTTATTTCGTTATAAATAACTTGACATTAGACGATATCTTGAACAGGGAAGGCATGAATTATTTTTCAGAGTGGAATGAAATTAGGAGATAGCTGAAATAACGATGGCGTAGTGCGCGACTGTAAACGGAGGGCATACTGCTGGCGTCTTAACTAGATGTTATTTTGGAAAAACCACAAATACTTGGACAATCACTATAAAAATTTATTTTCCTGAACATTGTTAGGTCCGTATCGTTCTTCGGGATGTAATGAACGCCGCAAATTTTGTATATGCTGCTTACATTTCAATTAATGGAGAATGCAGTTAAGTGAAGAGACAACTTTTAGTAGGCGAGTGCAAGCGGCAAAAGAAAATGCTCAGAACGCTGGAGTATTTAGAGTTCGGAAATTCTTTCTTTGAATTCTGGAGAACGACTGGGTTTCGCATTGCGGATGACTGCAGATACGTAACGCAGAAAGATTGAAATTATGCATTGAAAGGGCTACTATGAATTAAGTTATCAATTTATTCTAACTTAGTTAGCTATTTGTTAATAGGTTTCTTCATAATTTTATAGTATTTTCATTATTTCTTTGCACCAAGCCTCTGACGACGATGCTGCGAAAGAAGTAAATTTCATTTTCATTTATGATTTTGGCATATTTCCCCCAACCCACCCCACTTTTTGCAGTTTGCCAATGTGCTTCTGTTTCTTTATTTCTGCAGGAGTTTCGCCGTGGGCAAACTACTAGTTTTTCGTAGGATTATCCACTCCGCTTCTGATCTTGTTTCAGTTATTTCCTAAGAACTTATGTTGTAATCCTCATTTTGAAATTAGTCTTCTGTATTAATAAAAGTAACAAACTATTAGTGTGCCATAAAATTTTTTCAGAAAAAAAAAAAAAAAAAAAAATTAAAAAAATAGAGAAAAGTGCGTGGGTAAGCAACTTTACCGCTCGGCCGCTGGTGGGCTAAAAAAAGAGAGAAAAAAATGTGTAGGTAAGCAACAGTTATAGAGGATGATATCATAGTATTTGGAAGTTGGATACTTACGCATTATCCTGTTGAACGGCCAAGTAGTGCGATTTAGCGCCAGTTAATATACGAACGTGTCCTTTAGAACTCCGCAGTGAGTATTGACGATTGATAACCGTTGCTGAAATTTTCGTCAACGGTCGACGGGATAACATTTAAGATCGGAAGTTGTGCTGATCCGCATTAATGATCACCTTAAAGTAAATTTCTCATTTTAAAAATTAAATCATGACTGTTTCCCATTTATTTCTGATTGAAGTATAAGAGTAATATTGTAGAGTCATTAGATTTTTTTTTTTTTTTGAAGCCGGTGATTTGTGATTGCTCAAATACGCGACGAGTACGCGTCCAGATGCACCACGAAGGCATGCGGAAAGGGGGGAGAAAATACCTACAATGTAAGAAAAAATAACAGCATGTTCAGCATTGGCTATCCTGGGTCTAAGGGCTGAAGAAACATTTCAGAACGACGCTTTTGTTTTCTTACCTTCTAACATTTACTTCTTGCTCTTTTCTGATAGCTTTTCTTTTTTTCGAGTCGGAGCGAGCTGCTATTTAAATTTTTAGTCGGGAATTTTTAGTCAGTTTTCTAAAGTCATTCCAGTTCTATTAATGTTTTACGTCAAAAAGAAGAGGAAATACATTGGTGTAAAATTTAAAACCAAGCAAACTAGCAATCTTAATTTGGCATAGGTTTTAAATAAAGCTCTATAGATTTCGAGAGAGATCGAACACAGATCCCTTTTCTTCAGGAAGAAATAATAAGAATTCTTCTGCAGAGGGTCTGATTCCCACGAAATCTATAAAGTTTTATTCTAATTCTCCGCCAAACTAAGATGATTTTTTCGCCCAATTTTAAACAACTTTTCTAACTTCCTCATTAAAAATATTCCGATTTTGAGGTATTTGTGGGTACTTTTAATGCTGTTATAATACACAACAGTTAGTAATTCTATGTTTCGAGCGCTTAGGATACACTGTTTTGCTCCTATATTTTTAAATTTATTCTAAGAAGCTTTTTCCGTTTTCATAAAACCGAAATCTCTAGTTTCGGAACTGAAGTTAATAATCCGTCAAAAATAAATACGATGCGTTTCAAAACGTTGCATCTTTATTCAAGTAACACGGAGATAAAAAAAATGTGTTGTATTTCAAAGAATTGTTTGGAATAACATTATGTTTTGACATGAGTAATACGTTTCAGTGTAAAATGAACCGAATACGGACATGAGAGAGAGTAAACGATGTTGAAGAATCGGCGCATCTTTGTAAGTAAATGTAGTCTCTAACGCGAGTTGATCACATGTAAATGATCCTCGCATTTTTTTCTCTTTTCTTTTCTTAAAGAGAAAAGAATGATATTTATTTGGGTATTTTTTTTTAAATAAATTTGTGAAAGGAAAGGAGGGTTCTGGAAAACATTTACGTTTCTATATTGCGAACGAATATGCTAATTATATTCTTATTATCCGAAACGACATCTATAACTTCAATTAAAAACTGTTTTAAATTTAAAAAATATATTTATTAGAAACTTATTTATACATTTCATATTACGTACTTTTTTCCGCTGTATAAACTCAAGTGAAAAAATTTTTTAAAAAAACCGACCAGAAGAAAAGGAAAATCGAAGAAATTGTTTTTTTTTTTTTTACTTAACTCATACTCTTATACTTACTATTTATTTTCCTATACTAATCTTATACAGTTAAACAGAAGAGAGATTGATAAAGTGAAAAAAAAAAGTAACAACGCCTTCGCCGGGAATCGAACCACGGACCTCTGGAGTACCAACCCAGCGTGCAGAACTACTACACCACAAAGGCATGCTGAGAAGGTGGGAGAAATACCTTATAGTGTGTACGACTTAATTTGCCTGTGGGTTATCAGTAAATTATCATTGCACTGATTTTTCTTCACAAAATTCTAGAAATTTTGATAAGACTGAAAGAGCTTGTATTATTTCTTTTCAGCACATTTTTTAGTTTATTTTAGTGCAATGCAAACTTCGAATGGATGCCTATACCCTGACCGCTGAAATATAGGTTAGCTAATAGTTTGCCCGGCACTATAAGTTTTTTTATATTATCGATAGATTGGGGGGATTTTTTTCCTTATTTAGTTCTTTCTTTTTCTTTTTAATTTATCTATTAGCAAAAGATAACTGTTCAGACAATGTGTTTTGGAAACTTCTAGTCGTTAGCACTGTTTGGGTGAAAAAAATTATTTGCTTTCTAATGGAACAAATTTATAGGAATTTTCAGCGTTCTTATAAAAGGATACGTTTGAAAAAATGAAATTGAAATGACTGAGATGAACCTAGATTTCACTGAAGTGCACTGAAATCAGTGAACCGAAAAACAGTTTATTTCTTCAGTGTCCTGTAGTGCTTAAGATAATTTCGTTGAAATGAATTAGCAATAATGTGGTTTGGAATCTTTAAATATTTTGATGATTTTGTTTAAAATCGTGAAAACATTTCTATACCTTTTGAAAGAAAAAGAGATATGGCTAGAATGGCATTTCTAGCAGTTTAACCAATTTACCTCAAATTTTTATAAAATGTTTTACTTTTAAAAAGAAGCAATACTTGAAAAAACGGTCTTTTGTGTATGTGTGTAGTTTAATATGTAGCTTTCTTCCATTGGCTTAAATTTTATCTGCAACCTTTTTATATAGGAAAAGTCTCAAACCTGTTCGAAAGCTGTTAAGGTTTTTATGTTGGATGACGCAAATTTAAGGAGAGAGGTTCTTTAAAATACTGCCATTTGTTAGTGTCACAACATAATAAACTCTAGTGAACAAAGGATGGTTGAAGTGATGTCACATTTAATAAGGTTTACTTTTAAAATGGTAATTACAGTTGAAAATAGAACTGATTTTATTCCATTTTACTTTCTGGTTGGCATTCATCACTGTTAATAAATGCAAAGCATACAGTTCTGTACCCAAACGTGTGACTTCGAAGTTCAACTTTGAATTGGCTTTTTATTTACTTCATATGTGGTTTTTATTTATGTGGCTTCAATACTTTTATTAACAGATTGAAAGATTTAAAAGAAGCGTATTGCCATTGCTCTAAATAAAACTTTTTAGCATTCACTAGCCATTGAGTCGCTATTCGGCAAAAAGGTTTGCTTGATTTAAATAAAAATTCATTAAATTCGTCATATATCTAATTAATTAATTTTGATGAGTTTCATATTTCCCTTTTTTCTTCTCTCTCACTTTGATTTTTTTTTTCTTGTACGATGTAAAGGAAGTATTGTAATCGAGAAAAATTTTGGGTACGATATTTCAACGAAAATATCCATTTTGGCCGCTGTCGAATCAATTTGAACGACATTTTTGCGTGACATTTATATGTGCGGAAATATTAAAGGACACTTTTTGTTTTCAAAATGGATTGTAAAATGGATCAGAAAAGATATTTTCGTGAAGTTTCTACATACGTACGTATGTATTTATCTCTCGTAACTCAAAAAAGAGTAACCTCAGAACTTTGAAATTTTGTATATGGAACTGTTATAGCATGTAGTTGTGCATCTCCCTTTTTGGTTTCAATTGGCCTCACCAGACATACATAAATGTAAGTTATAGCATTATCAACAATTTAAGAATTGTTTATGTAAGTACTAAGCCTAACGAGGCTGCTGTTTGTTTACATTTGAAACCCGCATTAGAATAGTGAATTAAGGCAGTTTATGCACCATCATCAGTGTCTTTTTGTCGAGTGGGACCAAAAGTAAACTCTAAAATTTTGTGCACTGAAAATTCTTTCTTCCTGCTGCTTGTTTTTACGTAGAAACTTTAATTTTAATTTTAGAAATTGTTTCTTAACCGTTTTTATCTGTATTCGATCTTTTACATTTTTCGGTATTTTAAAATTTTTAGTGAAGATGTTTTGAATTTTTATCTACGTATTTTTGTCTTACCACGAAGTAAGAACTGAATTAATTGAATGCGAAATGTATCTGTAATGAAATTCGGGGAAGAGGTAATGCGACATAAAATGTTTGTAATTTATTTTAGTAGTCCGTACCAGAAAGTCACGGAGTGTCCACATCGGATATTTTTTTTATTATTTTATAAAAACCTTCTAACTCCATGCGGTCGGTAGTTGATACAGAATGCCTTTCTAAATTTTAATATCTTCTTACATTTTTTGAAAACATAGCTCTCTTCTAAGGGCTTAATTGCAGTATGAAGACTAGCGTATTCTGTTCTAATAATTCGCAAGGAAATTAGACATTATTCATTGTCTAAACTCTCCTGTATCTTATGTTATTATCATTTAACTCCATTTTTGACTTTTTTTCATCTTCTCCGATTTTCTCTGAGAAAATTAATCAAATGTTCGTTGCATAGGTAGACAGGGGAGAAAATGTTTTTCAACAGAAGCAATAACCTATTTTTCTATTCCCTATCATCGAATTCTTTAACATAAAGAAAAGAAAATATAAAAGGAACTGTTATCCGTAGTGCCAATTTATACTGAAAAAAAGAATAACATACCGAAAATAACAAAAATATAAATGAAGAAGATATGAAGAAAAGAAATAATGTGTTATTACTTCATTATTCGTATTTAATTGTTAAACAATAAGCTGCTTTTATGCATCTAAATGAAAAATAAAATGTTTTAAATCATTTCCTTCATTTCCATCCTTTTTGAAGCATAATTTAAAGTAAATGATATATTAAAGAAATTATACAATGATATTTAGTATTTTAAAAATGTTAATGCTTTGTTTTATAATTAAGATATGGGTTTAATTTTTTTTCTCGTATTCGAATTTTTTCTCGTTTTTTTATAAAGCCACGCATTAGCATTTGTAGTTATTTAAAAATGGTATTCAAAAAGTTTTCAAAAATATGCTTTTATTTAAAGCATTTTTTATTTTTATTTAAAGCATCAAAAATATGCTTTTATTTAAAGACAGCGGCCAAAATTTTATAATTAATTAACTAAGTAGGCAAATAGTTTGTCATAACTTTTAATGAGCAATGTAGATTAAATAATTTTCTTTAAAGAATTCATCCACAGTTTTATATCACGAATAATAAAAGAATAAGGCTCTCTTTATAAATTTATAAAGTTAATGACTTTTCCTCTCACAATGTAATGTAAATAAATAGACACATTTCATTATTTAAGTATCCATGCTTTTATTATAATTAATTATTTACTATTACATTTTCCTCGCTTTTATACTAAATATCACAGCAAAATGTTTTTCAATATATCCAAATCAAGAGAAGCCTTCAAAAACATGCAATTTTGTACAATATCTTTCAACGAAGCATAAAAAATTAAAGAAATGTATGAATACCTAAAGATGGAACAGAAAGTTTAAAAATAAGGTCTAAAAAGAAGTTTAAATTTAATACAGAGTTAAATAATATTTTTTCCAAAGTCTGTTTCGAATTTCTTGTTCAAATATGATGCAACCAGAAGTTTCACCATAAAATTAAAAAAGAAGTGTATCTTGTTTCCTCAAAATGTTAACTATAGATAAATAAATCAGATGGCTCAACGAAATAGGAGACCACCTAACATCCAGTTGATGTGGTGAGACATTCCCGTTTCGAATAGTTCATAAATCTATAGTTATGTTATATGAGTTCCTATCCTCAAAATATTTAAATTTAATTGAAAGAAATGCATTTTAAACTTCAACGAGTTGATTACTCTCTTAATTTTTTATGTCACTTATAACTTTACGTTCTAAGCAATATTTGTTCTTACGTGAAGTTGTTCAAATGAACTAATTATTCTCTTTAAAAGTTTTCAATTTGGACATTGATTAAGGAAGCTTATGGAAACGTAACATATTTAATCGTTAGGGTATTTGCTCAGTGGTGAATCTTATTCATAATCACCCTGTGATTATGCTAAGAGTAAATATTTTAGTTTTGGATAATGGTCAGTTATCTGTTTTATAATTTGTTCATTAATGAAAGAGAACAGTATTTGATTACAGATATTGTTCTAAATTTGTATTTTAGCCCAAAGGGGCAATTTGCTCAAAACTATTAATATCGTTTCGGCATTTTGCATTGATTGACAGTAAACGGCGAATCAATTTTTAAATTGTTGCCACCAAATATTAGAGCCCTTTATTATATTTAAAGGAATTAAATAATAAAGAATCTTTATAAATGTATGTACGTTTCTCGCATTGTGATAAAACAACGGTATCTAGAGCCATCAAATTTTGAATAAAGTATATGTCCACCCGAAGATGGGCATCTGAAATTTGGAATTTATTTTATAAAAGCATTTATGAGTTTTTGATTAAAAATTCAACGATTTCAAAGCAAGCAATAACAACACTGTAAGTGGGAAAAATATCTCCAGCGCGCGAAAGTGTCCTTTCTAGAGAAATTGTAAAGAAGTGCTCTTTTAAATATTTTGTGATATTGCTGTTGAATTTAATTTTATGGTTTAAGTGCGAAGAACATGATATTTAATAATTAAAGGTAACACACAAAACGTTAAGAAAACGGCCCTTTGGGCGTAATATCAAATTTAATTTATAATAATTTTTCCCTTTTTTGTTAATGATATAAATTTGATCTACAAGTTGTTTCATGCCAATAAATAAAAGGCACATCTTTCTAACATTAATGTTCCAATCGAGAAGATCTTTTAAATACATTTGAAAACGTTAGTGTTACGTGTTTCATTTCTACGAAATTATATATGTAGTTTCACATTTTAATAAAGAACTTGTACAAAGGGAACAGTTTTTTGAACCAGTAAATCTTGAATGATTAGTTATGTGGCTGCCAGGATTTAGACCTGAGTCATCAAGGTGCTCTTAAATGTGTGGACCACAACAGCTCAAGTGAATATGGATCAAGCAATAATTCTTTAAAACCTCTGATTTCTGAAAACAAGACTGCAAATTTGTTTTTGTTTTTAATGGCTTTTTGTTGTATATGTAGCAATAATTATCTTCTTTCCTGTTTCAGATTTATGATGCTTCTAATATATTTAATTGGAACCTGTGGTGCCCTGTGTATAGCTCAAGCTAATGAGGTTGAATATGAAAAGACACTAACGTCAACATATGATGATGATGATTCCAATCTAACGGAAATAGTACTGCATGAAGATGAAGAATTATATGACTTACCTGAGTTAAAGGAGAAAAACATGTGCATTCATGTAGAAAAGTAAGTTAATATCATTAATATTCATTAATTTGTCAGTAAGTAGCATTTCAGGTTTTTGACAGATGCTTTAACGGAAATAATTTGTATGCATGCTGTTTAGCTAACACAGTAGTCAATTATCAAGAGCTATCAAAAATTGTTAGATTCTGCATAGCTTCATCATTTTATGTACCATTTTTTTTATTTTTCTAGTCATATTAACGAAAATGTTTTCTTTTACCTGCTGATAAGGAAAATATATAGAAATAATTAGAATAAAATATAAATAGATAAACAAAGCATCATAATAGATAAAGCATAAATAGATAAATAAATTAATGAGCTTTTACTTCCCAACAACTTATATACGGTAGGTAGGGTTCGGGCCAAAAATTCGATAGCGAGTTTTCAGTGAATGAGCATGAGAAAACGACAACGCATTTTAAGTATTTTTACAATAAATTCTGTGTGTGACTTTTTTTATTTAGGTAATTTTACATAGGTAATTTTCGTATGAAACTTCAAAAGTGTTCGTTTTCCATAACTAAGCATTCTGTATTTATATAAAGTTTAGATTTGGGAAGATTAGATAAGATGTGAAGTAAATTGGACAAGCAGAACTGGTACTTTACATGTAGCTCGTAACAGTTCTTATTGGACAACCGGAAGTGATATTTTACTAGATGCTCGTAACAGGTTTGAAAACCTTTATTAAAATATATTCAAAAACGTTCGAAATTTATCATTTAAAACTTTTTATAACGATGGAAACAACATATTAACACATTTGCAAATTGGAAAACGGAGTGATTCTTACTTAAAGCTCTGTATGATATAATACAAAATTTCTCAAATTTGGTATATAACTCAGGTATGTAATTAAGAGTTACATATTACATTTACAAGCATTAAATGAACTTCTGAAATTATGCTAAATTCAACGAGAGTAAGGTCATTATGAAGATGACCTTCCGTTATGAAGGGAAGCAATTAACTTCTTTAGCTCTATTCCTTATTTTTGTGTTCGTTTCATTTCTATTAAAATCACTTTTCAAATATAAAAATTCTGGAAAGTGAAGATCGGAGGTGGCTGTTGTAAAGAGAGAAGTAGAGGGCGCTGCTTGGCAGTAGCGCAATGCATGTAAGTAGAAACGAAATGTCGTTTGATTAGGCAACATGATTTCTGTGAAGGTAGTCCACCTAACAATAGGACAGTTGTAAATATGTAAATATAACGAATAATAAATAGCATTAGAAAACTGAACCATCGGATGTTTTGTGATTGCTCTACGGGCCGCCATGGATAAATGCAGGTTCGTCACAATGGTGCATCTTACGGAAATGTTTGGATTTGTTAAAGTGAACTTCACGAGGAAGTATGTGTCCAGACCATGCCCTAGGTAAGAGCGTGATTATTATTAAATTCTGAACGTGTTTGATTTGAATTTTGATAATTTGCAGTCTTGGGTACATTTATGTATTAACGCGAAATAATGGCAGAACTAGATAGATTAAAACGAAAGAGAACCGCATTGAGAACGGTAGTATCTAAACTACTAAAGAAAGTCGAGGATAGCTTAGCAAAGAAAGATACAGATGAATTATGCGAAGTGCTTGAACTATTAATAGAAAAGAAAAGTAATTTGAAAGAATTAGACGAGGCAATTCATTCCGTAATTGAGATAGATTCTCTAGAAGCGGATGTAGTTAGTTCTGAGGAATATCAGGAAAAATGTTCTCGAGCTATTAAACGAATTAATCGAATGTTGGAAGAGGATAAAATAAGTATTAAAGATCCTGAATCCTGAACAAAATTTGGTTAGACTGCAAAATGTACAAAGTACGGTAAAATTTCCAAAACTAATTTTAGAGAAATATTCAGGTGATCCTGAAAAATTTACGGAGTTTTGGAACAGTTACGAAAGCACTATAGACAAAAACGAAAGTCTTAGTAAGATAGAAAAATTCGCATACTTGAAAACATTACTTACAGGTGCCGCGAGTAATGTAGTATCTTCATTAGAATTAAATGCAAAAAATTACGATGAGAGTATAAAAACTTTAAAGGATAGATTCGGGAAAAAAGAAATAATAATTAGTCAATTCATGAACAAACTGTTAAATTTAGAACCAGTAAGGAATTCAAATAATATTAAAGCTTTACGTAGGTTATATGATGAAATCGAAATTGCAGTTCGGAATTTGGAAGCGCAAGGAGTTACGAAAGGTTCATTTGGTCAGTTATTAATACCTGTGTTGTTAAAAGCTATTCCAGAAGAGTTCGTTCTGGAATTTAATCGAGGGAAAAACCCAAATGAAGAAATTAATGTTTCAGACTTGTTGGACTTCATAAAGCGGGAAATTGAATGTCGTGAAGCGTCGAGTTTATTGACGCGAGATAAAAGAAATACCTTGCCTCCACGTTTCGAACATGCTAAGTCTGATTATAAAAAAAATTCACAGAAATGTACCTACGGCTGCCAGTTTCAATGCTGTTGATAATCGTGCATGCAACTTCTGCGAAAAGTCCCATAATTCATTTTCTTGTGATAAAAGCATTAAAGAAAAATTGTGTAAGTTACGTACTGAAAATAGATGCTTTATTTGTTTTCGAAAATATCACATTTGGAAATCGTGCAGAAATAAAACTAACTGCTTAAAATGCGGGTTTAAGTCGCATCATGAGTCACTATGTGTGAGTAGTTCAAATCGTAACAAAGCGCGAACGGCTTCAAATCAAAACATAAAAGAATTGTGCGAAAGCTCGCGAGACAATTCAGTAGATGAAACACAAAACTCCCCGAAAGAACACACGCTTTCTGTTGTTCCTTGTGATAAATCATTGAATAAAAACGCTTTATTGCAAACCTGTTCAGTGTTAGCTCATTATGACGGAAAGTCAGAGTTAACTAATTTAATTTTCGATTGTGGTGCTACACGAAGTTTTGTTCATATTAGTGTAGTTAAGAAATTAAACTTAAAATTTGTTGGAGAAGAAACATTGTCTATTTATTCTTTCGGAATGAAATACGCAGTACCTAAAACATATAAGGTTGTCGAATTCTGTGTTTCGGATGCGAAGCAAAAGAACAAAATAAAAATCAGCTGTCTCGTCACTGACGCCATAACGGCTGCGCATATGACCACGCCGTCAAAACAAACACTAAAAATGATGTAATGAGTGTGCGGATTGCGAATCGCTTGTTTATGTAAAGAAGCGTTGGAATTCTAATAGGTGTGGATTATTACTGGAAGATGGTAAGGGGGAAAAGATTCAATTAGGAAAAGGAAATTTATGCGATTTCTACTATGTTTGGATGGGTCCCAGTTGGCCTTCAAGATAAAGAGAGCGAAATAGTATCTCAAAACACGGCAATAGTAAACCTTTTCTTCTTGCGTAACTGATTCATTGAGATCGTTATGGACTTTAGATTTGATGGGCCTTACCGATGACTCAGCGATTTCTAACGAGGTGAGAGAAATGATTCAGAGCTTTGAAAAGGAAATACGGGTAGAAGGTAATAGATACTATGTCAGTTTATTATGGAAATCGGAAGCAGGGCAATTAGAAAATAATTTCGGAGTAGCATTAAGACGATTTGAAAGTCTTAAAAATAGACTTATTAGAAATCCTGAGATTTATCAGCAGTATAAATCCGTAATTGAAGAGCAAATGAAGGAGGGTATAGTTGAGAAGTGTTCACAGGAAATAACGGAGGCATCGTATTTTATGCCGCACAGGGAAATAATAAAACCTAAGGAAACCACAAGTTGTAGGATTGTTTACGACGCGAGCTCTTCTAGAACTAAAGGTGTAAAGTCCTTAAATGATTTTTTAGACATTGGACCTAGTTTGATCCCCGTGGTTTTGGACATAATTTTAAAATTTTCGGAAATATGAAATTGCTTTCAGCGGAGATTTAGCTAAGGCCTTTTTAATGATAGGAATCTTAGAAAAGGATAGGGAATATTTAAAATTTCTTTGGTTCGGGAATAGTGAGGAAAAATATAAAGTTTTAAGGTTTAAACGTCTTCCATTCGGACTTTGCTGTAGTCCAGCAATTTTAGCGATGACGATAAAATTCCACATTAAAAAATATAAAAGCACAAATCCAGAAAGTTATGAAATGTTAGATTCCTCGTTATATGTAGACGATTTATACTACGGTGCAGACACTATTGAAGATGCATGTCGATTATCCTCAGACGCGGTTAAGATTTTTAAAGACGCTGAGATGAATTTGAGAAAATTAAGGTCAAATTCCGAGGAACTTAATTCCTGGTGGATTGGAAAAGGTTATAACATAGAACCAGCTAAAGAGTCAAAATTTTTGGGCATGATCTGGAACTCTGAAGCAGATAAGATCAAGTTGAATTGCGAATTTTTAGGAAATTTATCCCATGACAGTGCTGAGGCCACAAAAAGGACTATTCTCCAAAGGGTGGCCAAAGTTTACGATCCAATTGGTGTGTTTTCAACCCTTTGTGATGAAAATGAAAATTCTGTTACAAAAAATTTGGACATTAGGTGTGGACTGGGATGATACCCTTCCATTAGAAATAATTAAGGACTGGAGTCGCTGGCAAGCTGAATTAAAGGTGTTGGAGGAGTTTTCTCTTCCGAGAAAATATTTTGGTAGTAGTGAAAAATCTAATGTTAGTCTTCATGTATTTGCTGACGCTAGCCCTAAAGCGTACGGCGCAGTAGCATACTTTAGATACCTTGATTCAGAAAACATTATTTTGCACCAGTTTCATTACCGCAAAGGGTCGCGTAGCTCCACTCAAGACTATGACTTTACCTCGTTTGGAGTTGATGGCTGCTTTAGTAGCCGCCAAATTGTCTATGTATTTGACAAAGCTGTTTCCCTGAACTGTGTCATCAAAAGTTTCTTTGGAGTGATAGCCAAATAACTATCTACTGGATAAAGGGATGTGCAAGAAACTGGAAACCCTTTGTATCAAACAGAGTTTCTGATATTCAGTCACTCACGGATCCTGAATGCTGGTTTCACTGCAGTGGGAGTGAAAACCCTGCTGACCTTTTATCTCGAGGAGAAAATGCCTTTAATCTTGTGAGAAGTTCCCTTTGGTTACAGGGACCTAGCTGGCTGTCTCAACCTGAAAGTGTTTGGCCAGTAAATCAACAGACCAACATCGACGAGGAGAGCGTTCAGAACGAAGCAAGGGTGCAAACATCTCTTCATGTTTCTGTTCAAGACGTAGAATCTTCGGCATTACTAGAGTTAACAACGCGATTCAGCAGGCTGCTGAAGGTGTATCGAATTACGGCTTATGTTATGCGGTTTACCAACAATATAAAACGAAATTCAGTGAAAGTCAAAGGTCCATTAAGCTCTGTTGAGATTTCGCAAGCTGAGTTCTATTGGGTAAAAGTTACACAGCGAAAATACTTTGCGAAAGAGATTCTAGATCTATCAAGTGGAAAAATGCTTAGAAAAGACATCGTCGATTTATTCACTTAACCCAGAATTGGATACCCATGGTCTTCTGCGCGTTTAAAGGGCAGACTTCAATTCTCGGACTTTGCTTTCGAAGAAAAACACCCATGGCTGTTACCTTATAAAGATAGATACAGTGAACTAGTAATTTTTGAGTCTCATAACAAATTGTTTCATGCTGGAGTCGAAGCTACCTTAGCCGATATTAGAGAAAAGTTTTGGATCATAAAAGGACGCCAATTCGTCAAGTCCACGTTAAGTAAGTGCTTTTTGTGTAAACGATACAAGGTGCGTGCCGGTACACAGGAAACCGCTCCTTTACCACCTGATCGTGTTCTTCAATCATCTCCATTTTCTGTAACAGGGCTGGATTATGCTGGTCCCTTTTTTACAAAGGACAGCAAGAATAAACATTATCTGCTTTTGTTTACATGTGCTACAACTCGAGCTTTACATCTAGAACTTGTCCCTTCTATGAGCGTGGAGAATTTCATGCTTGCGTTTCGCAGGTTTATTTCTCGTCGTGGATTGTGCTCAACGATATATTCGGACAATGCCAAGACATTCAAATGTGCTGATCTCGAGTTGCGAAAAATTTGGAAGTGTATTCAACATCCATCTGTACAAAATTTGTTTTCTTCCCACGGTATAACATGGAAGTTTATTGTGGAAAAAGGAGCATGGTGGGGAGGGTTCTCTGGGAAAGGCATTTTAGAACGATCAAAACTTGTTTAAGGAAAATAGTTGGACGTTCTAGTCTCTCTTTGAATGAGCTAGAAACAGTCTTCGTAGAAATCGAAGCCATAATTAATTCAAGACCCATAACGTATGTCTACAATGACCCTTCAGAACCCTCACCGCTAACTCCTGCTCATTTCTTAATTGGTAAACGTTTACTTTCTCTTCCAGTTACAAGAGTGTGCAGAGAAGACTTGATTGGGTCTAGACATTCCTTGATCAAAAGGTATAAACATCAACAAACCTTGTTAAACCACTTTTGGAATAGGTGGAGGAAGGATTACTTGCTTTCTTTAAGATCTGTGAATTTATGTCCACCTACTAAAGTGTCTGGTCAGTTTAATGCTGGACCTTAATGTTGGTTTAATGAATTACGTAGTCCTTGTACATGACGACCGTTTACCTAGGAATTTGTGGACACTAGGTAAGATAATAGAAACTTATCCTGGCAGAGATGGTCAGGTTCGCTCTTGTCTCATTAAAACTCAAACAGGTAATCTAAAGAGACCAGTACAATTGCTGTACAACCTTGAAGTGCATAATTAGTAGTAAAGAGTTACAGTGTAATAATCTAATTTGTTGTTTGCACATATGTCATCTTCTGAATATCTTTATTGATTGTTTGCTAAATGTAGTTTAGTTTATATAATTCTTGCGAATTTTGATTTAGTATAATGTTTCTTATTTAGTAATTACTTTATAAGTTGATTTAACGTGTTTTGTTTAAACATTACTTAATTGTATTTGTAATTTGATGTAGTTTATATAGTATTCAAATGTTGTGTTTGATTTAGAAATTACTGGTTTATTTTGTATTCGGTTTGTGTGAACTTAAAGAGTTCACAGGTGGGGAGTGTTGTAAAGAGAGAAGTAGAGGGCGCTGCTTGGCAGTAGCGCAATGCATGTAAGTAGAAACGAAATGTCGTTTGATTAGGCAACATGATTTCTGTGAAGGTAGTCCACCTAACAACAGGACAGTTGTAAATATGTAAATATAACGAATAATAAATAGCATTAGAAAACTGAACCATCGGATGTTTTGTGATTGCTCTACGGGCCGCCATGGATAAATGCAGGTTCGTCAAAAGTGGCAACGTTAGAATTTTCCAATCCTATAATCTTAATACTGTTTTACAGTCAGTAATTCGAATTTTCGCGTTTTTTTTTTTTTTTCCTTTCCTATCCTAATATTTTGAATTTTTGGTCAAAAACTTAGCATTACAAAGCACAACTTTGGAAAGATCAGTTTTATTGACATATATATATATATGTTATTCTTACATGAAGGACTCGATTATTTGAAATTTTGGACTTTACAAAGATATTTGAGAGAATTTAGAATCTGCTTTGATTGCAATATTTAAATATGTGTATAAAATAAAGAGAGATGCTGATAAACTTTAAAAGCTCGTTTCAACAAAAGTTAAAGAACAAATTATTTTTATTTGAATAAGCAATTACTTCATTTCTGTTAATTTTTTGTGTTCATTGTACTAAAATTAAATGATGCAATTATAATTTTGCTTAAACCAGACTTCATAAACCTTTTTGATTCAACTGAAATTAAATAAAATAATTTTATCAATAAATATTGATGATATATTCCATATTTTAAAAAAGTAAAATTTTTTGCTCCTAAAATTTTTCATGCAGTAAAGAAATTTAGTAGTCCTTAAGTGTTTTTCATTTTCTAGGGTCAAAGAGGTTATTGTGAAACCTGTTACTATTCCTGTGGAAGAAAACGTAACTTACTGGTGTTTTAACATACCTCCCAAATGCACGAAAACCAAGTAAGGAAAATAAATCTTAAATTTTTATTTTAACCAGGCATAATAAAAATGATAATGTACCATATAAAGTATAGTGTCATGTAAGTTTCTGCATCACATTTTATTACATTTATTTACAGCTTCTTTTAAGTAATAATATGATACACAGTTAGTAATCTGCAAGGAAAAGAAATCGTATTCTGTCACGCTTGATAAAAGAAAGGAAGAAAACAAAATCGGCTCACTACTCAACCGTAATTCAATAACATATTGTTTATAAATAATTTTAATGCATAATAATAATTAACTGAATAATTATGTTAGAATAAGTCAGAAATTAGAAATGCGTTATAAAAATATAGCAATCCACTCTAACATAGCTTTTCTGCCGTATCGAATTACCATTGGAAACTGCTATAATACAACTTAAAAAAAAAAAAAAAAAAAAAAAAAAAAACTATGCATTTGGTAATGAGCTGTCGTTTACTACATGTTACACAAACATCATGAATTCAAAACTTAGTTAGTATAAATTGTTTACCAAGCTTTATAATGTAAAATATCATAATTTAAACAAAATATCTGTAAAAACGGAGTTCCTCTCTCGGGGGTCGACTGGGGTAACCCTTCGGCGTTCTGGCTAGGACCTATACTTCGAGAGACTCGGCTACATAATCAATCTTCGCAGTGACTAGAACCATCGATTCTTCGGTGGTAGATTCAGGTTCGCCAGGGACCGTGTTAGTATTGTCTTGTCTGCCCCTTGGTTGTGGGGACTCTACATGTCATCATCAAAAGTTTAGAGTCCCACAAACTCGACTCCTGATATCTCAACATCCCGTATAACTCGACAACGTTTTAGAAACTTTTTTATAATATCTCTATAGGTCAAACAGAGCAATTATTACATACAGTACCTATAATTATTACTTATGCGTATGTCTTTCTTGTTCTGTTCAATGTGTTTAGTATTCATTTTCTGTAATTTTTGCTATTTTCGCATTGTGCCATTAATTCTTGGAACTGTCTAACAAATTTCAAGATATGTTGTAATACTTAGCAACGCTGTTTGCTTCTAAGCAGAGCTAAAATGCTAAAGCTAAAATGATAAAGCTAAAACAATGATCCATAGTGAAGGACTGAAGGAAGCTGAAAGAATACTCCGTTACATGGAGGAGTAAGGTGCATCTGGGTATGGACATTTTGTTTCTCCTTCGCCTACGGGATAAAGCTGCACGACGACGGAATGAGTGTGAGAAACAATCTACCATCACACGATATTTTTCTACCAAGAATTACCAATATTTTTTTCATTTTTGTATGTAAGTTCTTTTACTTAATTATCTTAGGATATTTGTTCATCATTTTATGACTCCTATTATGCTAGAACTTGACATAAAAACATCAACATTAATTTAATTGTATGCTGTACGTTTCCGTGTCCAATATCGGGCTACAATTGTCTAGAGTAATTTACAGTTAAATATTAAGAGTTCTGAAAAACCCACCCCTTATTCCGTAAAACTCGATAGTCTTTCAGTCCACATCATATCGAGTTTGCGGGACTCTATTGTATGCTGAAAATATGCTACAGAAAATTGTTTCTCAAAATATGAGTTTTTGCTAATTTATTATTGACAAATGGTACTCTATGTTGTACCAGAATCATTATTAACCAAAAACAATAAAATCGTATTATTTAATAATTAACAATAACATTGAAAGTTATTTAATAATTAATAATGAATTGAGGGCTTTCAAATGCATCTTCCAACTTCTTCACACCCTTTAAAAAATATTTGTTAGCGCCAAATATTTTTCGCGTGTTGGAAATGGTGTTTGAATAATGAAAACTTAAGTACGAGTGAGAACTATCCTTTGGTAAAATTTTTAAACTGCATATCTTTTAAAAACATTTCTTGACTAAAACAGTTTTAATACAATAAGAAAAAAAATTACGGTTTTTAAAGCATCTAAATAGACTACAATTATGTGCCGTGCAATTGCTTAGAAGACTCTTTGTAGCCAAGTCGGTACACTCTAAACGTTTTGAAAATAATTTTCAAAATAAAATCTAAAGTTAATTATGATTAGCAGTCATCTGTTTGGATAGTCGCTTGAATTGTTTCAAATTATTCCGTGAGAAATTTGTCCCGCAAGTGATTGGGTTGTTGGATAAAATGGGTCTGCCAAAGGAAATATATCTAATTGACGCCGCTGCATACCATATTACTAAGTTATCTTCCGATGATGGAAGATAACTTAGTAATATGGTATGGTATAGTAATATGGTATAAATTTTATTGTATTTTAGTGCGACTTCTCTGACCAAGCAATGGATCAAGGTCTCATATCAGTAACGAAACACATTTATTACAAACTATCTTGTAAGTAATACTTGAAGAAATTGAACTTCCTATTTTTTCAAAGAAATAACGTGTTTAGATGCTCTAAAGTTTATTACTAAATTGCAGTATGAAATTAAGACACCGTCTCTGATTTAGAACTAGAAAATATATATATAAATATATATAATACAAAGTGAAAATGTTTAGCTAGAAAAGGGATTGTAACAGCAAACCTAGTTGAAATAATTGATGTTTCAGTTTTCAAAATGTAATTGAAGAAAAGGAAAAAACAGGGTTGAATGATTGAGAAAGGAAAGAATGAAGGCCTACAAATTCTTGCCAATCAAGACATCCAGAAAACCGTCCCCCATCCGGATTCCAGAAGTTTCTTGGAAACCATCTCGAATATTTTCATCTTCGTACGACTTTAATCAGCCAAAATTTTAATTAAAAACTTTAAAATCTCTAATTCTCGCCCTCATTTTTCCGAGTGGCAACAGTCGCGAGCACTGAAGATAAAAATCTATTATTTTTAAAAGTGTGAAAAATAATTGTTCGCGTTTAAATCGTAGAGTTTATTGATGAACAAATTTGTAAATTTTCAAAAATATGAAATAGTGAAAAAAATCTGAAAGCTTTCAGATTTTATATTACTCCCAAACGGGCGTTTTTTAACGTTTTGCGCGTTACCTTTGTTTATTAAATATCATATTATTCGCACTTAAACCATAAAATTCAATTAAACAGCAATATCTCAAAATAATTTAAAACACCATATCTTTAGAATTTCCGATATACAGTCTCGCGCGAAATAAAAAATGTTTTTTTCCGTATAATGTTGCTATTGCTTGCTTTGAAATTGTTGAGTTTCTTAATCAAAAACCCATAAATGCTTTAAAAAATATTGTAT